ATAATCTCTGTATGGTGGAGTTTTAAAATTTTCTTCGTAAACTATACCATCTAATATTCTAATAATTTTACCACCGGATTTCACTATTTCTTGAATATCAACTGATGTTAAAACGTCGTGACAGAAACTATTTCTGAACCTGATTTTAGTGCCAGTTTCCTTCTGACCTATTCTATTCGTAAAAGTTATTTTATCTTTAGCTTGTATGGGTTGAAAGAACATTTTTTTGGGATATTCAAACCAAACTTTTAAAATAGCAGTTCTAGGTCTGAATTTTTGTTTATTGAAGAGTTTTACAAATTCTTTTTCTTCTTCTGGTAGAAACGCTCTTGCACTTTCCGCTTTAGGATATTCACCTTCTGTCATGGCTGAAGCGTACAACCCATTAGCGTCAAATGCCATCAGTTTAGAATAGTCCAGAACTTCTGTTTTATCTTTTGGGTTAACACTGTATTCTTTGAATAAATCTATTATTCCTTCAGTGTTACTTTCATTGTATTTTTTTAATATGGCGCAGATCTCATTCATTTTATTCGTTTCAAATGATTTTCGATTTGCCGAAACTCTTCCTCCTTTAATACTTTGTCTGATAAAATATCTTATAAAAGGGTGAGTATGCGAGTAAACTTTTTCTACGTTTCGTTTTTCCGTATGTTTCGGAACCATTCTAGTACTTTCATACCATTCTTCTTCAACCATTTCTTTATCGTAATGATATAAATAATACCAACCCTTTAAAGATGGAAGACAGTTTTTTTCATGGCTTGATTGTATTTTATCAAACAAGCTCCGAGACATAACGTATCTCTTTTAGCGTAAGGTTCCCATTCCGGTCTTAAAGATTCCCAATTATCTTTAGTGTATTTTGCAATATTAACATCCTCGATCTTTCTCAAATTCATTGGTAGATTAGATTTCCCCATGCTGCCAAACTAGATGATTCGTGTTGATAGGAACATGTGAAATTAATATTTTGCAAATAATTAGAGTTACCCTTTATTTCTTTCTGTCTTTTCCATTTTTTCTGTAAATCTTCATCAGTGAATGAATTAGTTAAAGGTAGAGACAGAATTCCTTTAGCTGTTTTTAAAGGACATTGTGTTAGTTTTTTTACGTTTTTGATCATGATCCAGTTATCAAAACCGCTAGTGTTATGAGCAATTAATGTTATTCTTTTCTGATCTATTTTTCCTAAACGTTGTAACATTTGATCGATGCAATCTGTACCTACAAATATTTCTACTATATTAGTCATGAGTTTGTTGTAAAATTCTTCTGGAATGGGATCTGTCGGCTTTAAATCTGGAAAGAGATTATTTATTCTCTTAGTTTTCCTTAGTTTTCTAAATAACTAA